CGGGGGGGGGGGGGAGAGAGAGAGAGAGAGAGAGAGAGAGAGAGAGAGAGAGAGAGAGAGAGAGATTGATTAAGTGGAATCATGGAATCGCATCTATTCCTGGTCCTATCTCGAAGCTTCTTCCAAAAGCCATGCAGGCTAAGATGCTCCCTTTGAGCCTGAATGTGTGTTGCAGTTTGGCGGTTGGCCAAAAGGAGGACACGGAGATGTTTCCTGTTCGGATGTCATTGTACCCACAAGATCTGACTTCAGCGAGTCCTTCTTCTCTCGGCATTAGCCTCGGTCCAGACTGCTACCTTGCAGTCCCCAACTTTTGGACCTCAGGATACATTGGGAATTTGACAAACTGCTGTGGATGCCATGGGATCATGCGCTATCAGTGGGACACTGCTTTGTTGTCTCACCATTGCACCTGTGGATCTTAGGTTGTGCCTTGTATAGTTTTGTGCTTTTCCACTTCTCTTTAATAAGGGCTTGTCTAATTCAGCTCATCACTAGTCATGGGCAAGGTCCAGTAGTTGTAATCGCTGCACAGATAAATTTTGTACTGGAACATTATTGGATATTTGCTGTCTTGAATAATTGCATGATCCTCTAGGGATGCTGTGTCCTACTAAGATAATAATTAAACTTCCAGTTGTGACCTACACCATATTAGCCAAAGCTAAAGTGCAACAATCCATGCAACTGAAGCTAGGCACTTGTTAACTCGATGGACATCGCTGATTCAACCGGGGACGCTGAATCTCCCACTAGAAGCAAAGAAACTTTGCACCCCCAGATTTGGCTCACTCAGTGCCCCTAGTTTGTAGTATATAGTTGTAAATGCATCCTGAAAGGGGCACAAGGAAAACATCTGTACATGGAACCAAGCGGGATACACTTTACATATTTCAGCTATATTTCTAGTCCACCTCCGCCTCAAGGCAGATGCCAAATTTAACATACAGAAATAAACTAGGTACAGATAAAATAGGATACTGCAACCCCCGTGCAAGTGTTCCAAATTTTAATCAACCTCTCCCCTCACCTCATGCTCTAGTGCATTTTATGTTCAGACTTGTTGGTCTCTGTCTTAGATGTAACTTCAGGTTAACGGTAATCCTTAGGTTGCTTCTTGATTCTGTTTTCCCTCTGTGCTGCCTAAGCACTTCCTTTGCATTATGAAGTCTAAAGCCACCCAGATCAATCTGGGAAAAAGCCCAGCTTTTTAGATTTATGAAAGGTGGGTGTCACACGCTGCTTCTCCAGCAACTATATTCTTGAAAATAAGATAGAAGAGGCTGGCCGTCAAGCCACTTGTCAACCTTACGTCACGTCGAAAGGAACTCAGAGTCTTCTCAGCCTTGAGAAGAACTTACCTGCACAGTCGGTGTGGATGAGACATCCCAGCAGACCAATGGCCACAGCAAGGGAGCTGCTCGCCATTTCCCCCAAAGGATGCAACTGCCTGGCTGGTGTGCCCTGAGCCAGGAGCGGCTGGATCAGTTGTTCCAAAGGGCAAGTACATATTTGCTTTGCTTGGGACTCAGCTCTGAGGTCATCATTCAGCTGAAGGTCCCTGAATGGGTGGCTCCAGATGAATCCGCATGGTCTGCTTCCTGAGTTGAAATAAATAAATGGCCAGGAGAGCATCTCACATAAGCTAAAGTTGTACAAAGCTTGATTCTGGTGTTTGCATGAGCAAAAGAAACCTCGATATGGCAAATGGCCCACGCTGTGACCCTCCAACACTCTGGCCACCCACAGGTGTGGTGGTGCACAACTGCTTGCTGTGCAGTTTGAGGGACAGGCCAGTTGTCAGGCCAGCCAGCTTCTGCACATGGAGTGGAGGGTGCGTCATCTTGCAACATACCATGGTGCCTTGCCTCACGGACTTAATCCATTCCCAGACTCTGGTCATGACCCAAACTGATCGTGAGCCAAGTCAAATTTCCCCAGAAGGGTCAGTGTAAATAAGGTTAATCTGTTCTGTAACTATTTTTTTTTTAATCACAAAAATTTGAAGCAGGTGTGCTGGAGGGGAGGCAGGTGCAATCGCAGGTGGCTGGGAGGAGGCGGGTGCGCTGTAGGGGAAGGGGGCTGCGATTGAGGGTGTGCTCAGGAGGGGGAGACAGGTACCATTGGGATCATCACCCGAAGCGGAGTGTGCAACCTGAGGCAAATTTTTTCAGAAATTTCTGTTCGTGACCCGATTTAGTCGTGAACTGAGGCATTCGTGAGCCGAGGTACCACTGTATCTTGGCCTGGCCCAACTCCTTTTTTTCAAAGGGGTGATAGTTTGTAGGAGCCAGTGTAAGACACTGAAAAGAAGGCTTGATTCATCTGGAAGGCCAAAATCCCCGTACAGGAACTGATGGACCCAATGGCTTTCATGGCCCCTTCCAACTCTACTATTCTATGATTCTATGGTTGCCAAGAGGCAGGCACCTTTCCAAGGAAGAAAATGATCTCTGATTTGGTACTATTATTCTTTGGACATCTGATACATGGGCAGGAATCCTACTGTGCAAAGAGCTATAATCTTTTCAAAGACCTATCAGAGAACAATCATCTCTTTGAGACACTGTCCAGTCCAAGTCCCATGTAAAGATAATGAATCACATGAAGGGGCCTTCCGTTTGCAACAGAACAGCAGGTCAGACTCCTAGGTCCAGAGGTCACCTAGTTGCCATGGAAAGATGTCTTGCATTTCTATTCAAAATACAGTATCTATTTGCAATTCTTCATCTATGCACGCATACCATCTCAAGGAGGTGACGGTGAGCTACAAGGCCTCTTTTCCTACATCTCTTTTTGGGTCTGGGTTCCTCAAGTTCCAGTTATGTTTTTCAAATCCCCCCACCATTATTTGCCAGAGTTAGCTATCTGTCCAAGATGGTACTGCCTGAGAATTTATTGCTTACCCCTAGATCCTCCTTGGCAGGATCTCATGATGGACCACCATGGGAGTGTGTGGCATGGTCACGTAGTTATCTTTCTTGGCTGTTTGCCGTGTGCTGAGGTGAAGCATCTGACCTTGCCAGAATGTAAGAGCATTGCCAAAGCTATTGCAATACTACCCCAAACAGGTGTGCTTATACACATGCAATTGTTTGGAAGTCCCTGAAGCGCTTCCAGTGGAGAAGCTTGAAATAGATCTGGACCAGGGAAGGAGTCATTGGCTGGACATTGTGTTCCTCTGTTGTTATTCTCTGATGAGCTTTTGGGGACTGGTGGGATGTAAGCAGTGCAATCTTGCTCTGTGGTTAATCCTTGATCAACACAAATATTTAGTCTCCACCCACTGAGCACTGAGTGCAGATCCTGGAGGGGCGGTTGCCTCTTGGCAATGCAGCAGAGGGAAGCCACTGAGGTGCACTGGTGGTTAGGCCACTGGGCTAAGACGCAGAAGGCCCATGCTCGAGTTCCCACCCTGCCGTGAAGCACGAAGTCCCAGCCATGCTAAACTCCCAGGGAGGCTGTTGTGAAGATTAAATAGAGGGAGAAGGAGAACCTTGTAAGCTGCCTTGGATCCCTTGCAAAAGGCGGAGTATGAATGCAGTACTGAAGACAAAAATAATATACGCATTTCGTATCTGTTGTGTCTTCCTTTGCCTTCCTCATAGAACCTTGGACTTGGAAGGGGCCAATAATGACATTTGGTCCAACTCCCTGCTGAGCACAGGAGCTCAAATCAAGGCATCCCAAACAGAGAGCTGTCCAGCTGCACCTTGAATGGCTCCACAACCTCCGTAGGTCATTGCTGCCATTGCTGAGATGCTCTGAGGGTCAGGAATTTTTCCTGATACCCAGCTGGAATCTAGCTTCCTGTTCCTTGAGGCCATTATTTTGTGTGCTGGATACTGGTGATCAAAGAGGGACCCTCACCGTTCTCCCTGTGATGCCCTGGCAAGCATTGCTGGATGCCTTCACATCTCCCTCCACCTTCTCTTCTGAGGATAGACATGCCCAGGTCTTCCCATCTCTCCAGAGGGCTTTGTTTCCAGTCCCCAGATCACCCTTGGTGCCCAGCCATCCTTAGTCCTCCTTTGCAACATGTAAATGCCACCTCACCCCCAGGACACTGCTTTCCCTCATTATTCAATCTGCTTTGATTTGCCAAGACTTTTTAGCCGACTTCCCAGGCAGCGCTCCAAAAATGTTTCCACAGTCATGGAAACACCTGTCGGCTCCAGCAAGTCTCTCCTCCCCCGCACCCCCACTAAAGACTCTTCCAGACATAAATAGCTTTCTCACGGCTTCCACTGCCCATAGTCTGCCTGCCAGGACCGTGATCAGGAAATCCACAGATCTGGATGCTTCCCTGCATGCCAAAAGAAAGCCCTGCATGCTGGAAGTGTGGATCCCAGTAAGCTGGCTTCTCAGAAATGTCTTCCTACCACCTGTGGGCCACCTGTAGCCTCTGAGGCCTTCCATGGGACCTACCACTGTATCCACAGCTCCCTGCATCCATCTCCTGCAGCACATGCTGCATCTTCTCCCCAGCACGTTCCCCACAGGGACCTCTGTTTGCCAGGAGGTGGCCTCCAGTGAGAACATGTGTGTGCACAGACTTTGTTCTCCCTCTACAGAGGACGTCCTTATCACAAGAGGGTTTTCCTTGCTGCTGGCAACCGCAGAGAAACAGCCATTCTACACCTCTGCCACCAACCTGCTATCAGTTGCATGAGTGTGTGTGTGAATTGTGGCCCACCCAAAGAAGGATGCCCAGCCCTGAACTCTATGAAGAGAAGCAGAAAGGCCTTGGGGGTGTGGAGGGATGAAGAATAGAGAGAAAGAGTCTTGGAAATGCTGGTAGTTTGTGGATAATTGATAAGGGAGGGCATCCAAAACGTTGCACCTCCAATGTAGTCCCTCAATCACCTCCCACACTGCATGTCTTCCTTGTCTTCCTACTTCTGCACTTTGCTTCATAGTCTTTATTTATGAAGCTTAAACTGAATGCATCATCTTAGATGATGGCGGTAGACTTATTACACCTTTCTTCCTCCTCCAAGATGCCCAAGACTGACAGAACTTGGAACAAACACTTGTGCATCCTAAACAAAACTGTGCAATGGCCAGAGATTTCCTCCCATGTAGGAGGTTTCCCCTCATTTAGGGAAAAAAAGAAATCGATACTGTATACCTGCTTATTAAACCCATAGCTGAAAAACCATGATTAAGCTGTATAGAATGAATAAAGATATGCATGAAAACAGTTGTGATTGCTTTGTGCTGTTGAACTCACAAGAATGATCATATGTTATTTTTTCCATGGTGACATTTATTTGTGCTTTTGTCATACTTCATAACACAGAAATGCACTGTGTGCTGATTTTTCATTCTAATGCATTTGCCATTCTAATTTTCCAACGTTCCTTACAAGGTTGCTTTTTGTACCTTCCTTAATGCTTAGCCAATGTAGCTTCTTAAAGGCTTGTCATGATATTGCTGAGGATAAATCTCACATTCCAAGCCAATCACACTTCTCACTGAACTTCATTATTTCTTAGTTCCTTTACTCTTTCCTGTGTTTACACTACTTTCGAAAAGAAATCTGTACTCAGTTTAATATGGTCCAGCTATTTCAGAAAAGAAATTAAGATAATTGTATCTGGCCTCCCTTGCACCACAAGAGGATCTTTGAGAGAGATCTAGTGAAATATTCCAGCTTGTGATTAATTATGGAAGTGTGATCATGTTTTGAATCCACTCTTCATAATCCCCTACTCTGGTGTACAGATTGTAATTCCCCGTGCCAGTACATGGCTCTCTACAAGAGGCTATCCCTGTTAGAAAGAAGGTGCCCTTAAAATTTGTGGTATATGGGGTTCCACTCTGCTCACTGTAGGTTTTCGTCGCTGGGGCCGAGGGGCCTGCACAGAACAGATGTTGCGAGGCGGTATCCCCAGTGTCTCCTAGACAAGTGTTCTGAGGGGCATAATGAACCTTCTGGAGTTGGAGGACGGTTGCCATTCTCTGCTGCGTTGTCGTTCTCCACCAGCCGCTCACAGTGCCTGCTTCAGCCATCAGCAGGTTGTTGGAGGAGGATTTGTTCATGATGCAGATTGGGGTGATGTAAGAATTCATTATCAAAGGCGAATCCAGCTCTAAGAGGGCGATGTCATAGAGATGTTTATGGCTGGCATTGTGAGCTGGGTAAGGAATTGCCCTGACTATTCGACGGACCTGTTCCGTGTGTTCGAAAACACCCGTATTGTATTCACCTGAGAAGAGAACCATCGCACAAATGTGGCCATGGTGCACGTAGCCATGGAAGAGTGTGGCAACTTTTGGTTCAGCTTCCACCTTGAAGTGGCTTTTTACATTTGCATGAAAATCCATTAGCATTTTGGGGTGAATTTCTCCTAATAACAAACATACCAAGGGGCAAGTTGGGTCAAACTACCAGCCTGTTTTATCTTAAAGCTTTTCATGGCCGGGAACTAAGCCTCTAGGAGTCATTTCAGTCTCAGAGAAGGGAGAAGAAACTGCACAAAACCCAGAAAAGCCACAAAAAATCAATGGGTGGGAAAACGGGCATGGCTGGGGCTTGGGATGTGGCCCTGAAAGATTTGTACCTGGACCTGTAGCACTGCACCCCTGGTGCAGAAGAGCCGTGGGAGGACTCCTGGGGCCTGAAAGCCACTTTGATCCCCTGGGGCACCCACACCCCCTCTTGGATGAGCACCCTGAGCTCCGTCTCGATGGAAATGGCGCAAGAGGATGTGTGCATTCAGGCTGCCTTTACCTGCCAAGATTGTTTGTGGCTCATGCGCTAAGCATTGCGCCGCTGTGAGGACCCACTTTTCGCTGACCACGACACCTTCACAGAATCCTTTCTGCTCATAGCCGATCATATAAACCTGCAAGGAAAGTTTATAAGATCATGGGACACTCAGAAAACCGGTGGTGGGAGCAGTCTAACAAGCCTGTTTTTGTAAAGGGAATGCTGACCTTTACAAAGGACAGGATTGACGGTCGAGCTGTATCGATGACATTTCAGTGGTAATGTACGTGTCGCATCTCTACACAGCTCCTGGCTCCCAATGACAACAGGATGTCAAATGACAGGCGGTTTGATCCACCAAGAATCCAGAAATCCAGTCAGGCCAAGTGCTGACCATCTCAGGCGCTTTGCGTGCCTCAAAACGGGACTGTGTCCATAGTCACCTAGACAAGCATTTGTATATTCACAGAATTTGCCTTTGTGACTTCCATTGTCAAGTGTATAGACCGCAAGGCCTGCAGTGTGGTGCTTAGCTGGGAGACTGGTCTATATCAGAGGTGGGTAGAAATGGGATCGCCAGATGCTTTGGACTTCAGCTCCCAACATTCCTGACTTTTGCACATGCTCGCAGGGTCTTCTGAGACCTCTGGTCTACGTGAACTTTCAGTGACTCTATACAGCTTTGTGAGTGCCTGTTTGTGAGGTCACCAGAATGGTTCGAGGTGGAGAGAAAGTTTAGTTTTGCAGATTATGTACTGCTATGGACATTAGGTGACTGATGACTGTCTGCAGGTTGTAGACTGGGATGCAGAAGCTCAGTCCTGAGGTTGAGATGTGACCCACCTGGGGCTCACAATCCAGGGTCCTCCAGATGGAGAACCTTCTCTCCCTGAACTATCCCCTTTCCCAGAGTTTTAGCTTTTACACAGTTATCTTCCTATTCTAAAAGGCTGAGATCTCCCCCTTCGGGCTTATTTTCTGGCAGGAAGAGCATCAGGTATGCAAGCTGGCTTGGCACTCTCTGATCTGGCCCCCTTTTCCATTCAGGTCCCCCTTCCACTGGAATGTGGCCTGAATGCTCCTCCAAAATGGAATTCTGTCCTTGGGGTCAAAGGGGTTCTGTGTCCTTGTTGACCCTGCGTAACAAATGGGACCCCTGAATATTGCACTGCACAGAACTGGTAAGCATGAACGTAGATCGGCTGGTTCCATCGCTAGTCCTCAATTAAGGCTGCTTACCCAAGAAGAGGGACCAGTGGAAATCACAGGGCATATTTCTGAGCAAATCAGGGCTTGCTTGGGCAGGCAAGCCAGTGGGAGCTGCATCTCCTGAACCCCTTTCGCACCACCACCACCGCCGGGGCTGACGTGCTGGTGAACAAGCTGGTTGCAAGAGTGAAGAAGAGGGGAAGAGCCCGGGCCCCCTGCCTGGGACTCCTCCTGGGGTGTGGGCCCGCAGCAGCAGACCCCTCTCAGCAAGGGGCTAGCAGGAGTGTCGTGATGAAGCTCCACGGAATCCGTTCCTCTCCAGCTTGTGGTCCTCCTCTCATTCTTGGCCCTGCCTTAAGAAGCGAACTGAGCCCGGAGGGAGTCTGCAAACACAGCAAGCTCCTTCCACATCATGTGAAGCAAGCTTTGTGTGGCGCACAGATGCCATTTGCCCAGCAGCTTCACCAGATTTATTGCCCGGCAAGCAATGTGCCGATTTCTTGCATGCCGACCAGGAGGTTGCACTCACAGCTGCAAGAAACTGGGCCAGAATCCGCGGTGCCAAGCCCAGGGAATCCGACAAATTCCCAAGCCAAAATGAATTCCTCACTCATCCATAGTAAGCAATGCAATCCCTCGCCTACTCAAAAGTAAAATCCCATTGAATTCGATGGTGATCTTTCCCAGGAAAGTAAGTGCAGAACCACCCCAAAAAACGTGATTTTTATTGGCAGCTGCCTCTAGAGGGCAGCAAAGGCCGAACGGTCCATCTCCAAAAGCAGCAACAATTAAATAGGATTGCAGAAACAAAAGACTTCCAAAAATCGAAGCACGACCCAGCAGCAGTCACACTTTTACTGAACAGCAGGTCTACATAAAATCTGGGCTTTATGACAAAGGGCCTTGGAGTGAACATCAGAGAAACCCTAAGCTAAAATATTTTAGACTGCAATCTGGGAGAGGGTTTTGAACCGATAATCTGAAAAGCCCTGCTGGGTTCAGACTAACTCTGCTTCTCACAGCAGCCAGGCTGTTGCCAATGGGAAGGAGCCAAAAAAGAGGCCTTCTCCTCCCATTGTTCTTCAGACAAAGGGATTAAGAGGAGGTAGCATCAAACCATCATCACTCTGGTGCTTGCATCGGAGGAGATGTGCATCACATGACACAGTTTATCTCTTTTCAAATGTGAAAGCTTGCTTCTAAGGTAACTTTTGGAAAGGCACTTTCTGTTCTTGAATAGAGATGGACTTTGGGAGCCTCGCTCACAGTCCCCATAAGCTGCAAGAAAAACCAGTTCCTCTCCCCCATGTCAGACCACCAGAAGTAAATATTCTACCCCCCTCCCCCCCCCCCCCCCCAAATCACAGCGAACCACATTGGAATCTGGAAAATTCACCAAAATTTTGATCTGAACTTGGCATTTAAATAATGTTTCAGATATTCGGCAGGTGATCTGAGCCAGTTGACCTGAGCACAGGCAGATAGTTAAGGAGTGCTCAGGCCAAAGCTGGTGTACCCAGAAACATGAAGTCTTGGCATTTAGAATAAATGCCTCTCACATTCACGGATCTGGTGCACTTGGTCCACAGGATACCAGCCGGAATTCATTAGCTGCATGGGGTGCTAAATAGCCAGCTTGTTATTAATGGCACTACTTGGCACTCCGCAGAGGGGCGATTGGCTGGATATGGTCCGGCAGCCTGGCTTGCAGTACAGCTTCCCTCACTGTCCTGTTCACTGGGGAGGACTGCTGGGTGCTGGGTGCTGCAAAGCTGAGCTTGAACAGGTAGATTCATTCTCTCCCGGGGGAAGAACACCAACACTGGGAAACAGCCAGCTTAATTGCACTACCTGCCATGGGACTTCCCCCTTTACACTGTTCGTGTCCAAATGATGAAGGCTTGATGGTGGAGGAACATTGCCCAACTTTTCCTGGAAGCTATCAGTAGGGCTGGTGGCACCCGTCTCGAGCGAGCGGCTGAGCATATTCTTCACTGCCTCTGGGTTTGTAATCCTCCCACATGGGAAGGGCACTGCAGGGAGAATGCAAAAACACTTATGTGCCAGAACTTCGGTTCTGGGTGACCAAAGCACTGCCTATCGTAGCAAGATTGACACTGGGATGCTGTCAGCCTTCTTCACTTTTTGCATGCCTTTTTCTGACAGTCAACCATGCCCCAAAGTCACTGACATGAGCAGGGTTGGCTCCCAATTTCAGAGGGCCTTCGGGCAAGACCCCCTCCATGACCCCCTCCCCCCCATGAGTCTACCTTTCGGCTTCTTCTTTCTCATGGTGGCCACCACCTGCTTGCTGGACAGGGGGAGAGCCCAGGAGCAAGGACAGCAAGCATCTCCTCCTTCTCCTGCTCACAACCTCCATTGTCTGGGTCAGAGTGGGAGGCAGGCTGCAGGAGAAGCAGGCTGGCGAGCAGAGGCACAACTCCAGAGGGCCTTGCCATAGGATCCTGTCAGGTTGAAGGAACCTCTCTGCTCCTCACCCGGGAGACCCAGCAATGTCAGGGAAGACTCAAACAGGAATCGTTGCCACCCCTTCGGGTCCCCATGCGATCAGAATCATGAACAGGAGTAGGGACACACATGGCAGCTTCCCACCTCTATGATTTTCAACATCCCTCTTGAAAAGTTGGAAGACAAACATCTACAGAAGAAAGCTGACTATACATGTACAGATTGTCTAGAGGGTTTTAAACTCTGGAAAATCAGTCCTGGCAGCTCAGGCATTTGATCAATGGCTACCCTTTGTGGCCCAATGATTTCCCATAGCTGAGACTCTCTGGAAGTGCTTCAGGTATTTGTCTAATCCCCTCTGAAAGCCTGGCTTGCAATACAGCAGGTTAAGGGCCCTCATCCTATAGAAATGAATTCCATAATTTAGCAAGGCATTCCCTGAAGAAGTCCTTCCTCTTAGCTGTTCTGCCCCAACCTGCTGCACTTCAGACATTTTGGACTACGGTGTGCAGAATTCCTGTCTGGAGCTCATGAGAGCCCAAGTCCAAAACATCTGGAGGACAACAGGCCAAGAAGGCCATTCTCATAGAACATCGGTGTTAATCTGCTAGCTCAGACTCTCGTACCTGTGGGTTCACAGGTCTTCTGGTCTTCCTTCAGTCTGTACCCATTAACACAGGAACAAGTTGCTTTCCGAGTTAAGCCGTTCTCACAGATCTGGCTGCAGCCTCCATTCTGAGAGGAGCAACTAACGTCTGATGGGGAGGTGGAATCAAATGGCATGACAGACAGAACTCACTCAAATTAAAGAACAAACTGCCAGCTCCCTTCACATTCTGCCCCTCTCTGGATTTATGTGACATGCTGCTCAGCTTGAAAAATTGAGCAGAAAGCAGAAATAGGGAGATTACAGGGAGAGTTGCATATAAAATGTGGATTTTAGGGAAAGTTGCAAATGAAAATAACTGTGAAGCTTTGTGCTTTAAAAACATCTCGAATGAGACATGCATTCAAAGGAATGGACTTGTAATTGAATCGTGGCCGAATTCATGGCATTATAGCCTGTTTTGCACAAAATAACTGAACATCCATATTTCATCAACGACATGGAAGAAGGAGTGAACAGTCTGCTGATTAAATTTGCAGACGATACTAAAACGGGGGCAGTGGCCACCACTGAGGAGCAGGTACTCCAGATCCAGAAGGATCTGGACAGACTACGGAAGTGGGCAGGAGACAACAGGATGGCGTTCAATGTGGATAAGTGCAAGGTCTTGCACTTGGGGCATAGGAATAGATGTCATAAGTACAGGTTAGGGGACAAGTGGCTGGAAAGCAGCACTTGTGAAAGGGACCTCGGGGTGCTGGCTGACTGCAGGCTGAACATGGGTCAGCAGTGTGATGCGGTGGTCAAGAGGGCAAACGCCACCCTTGGTTGCATAGCCAGAAGTGTGGCTTCTAGATTGAGAGAGGTATTACTACCACTCTACATGACTCTGGTGCGCCCACAACTGGAGTATTGTGCTCAGTTTTGGGCCTCTCATTACAGAAAGGATATAGCCAGGTTGGAGTCAGTGCAGCGTAGGGCCACAAGGTTGGTGGCCGGTTTGCAGGGGATGGGGTATGAGGCGAGACTGAGGGAACTGGGCCTCTTCAGCTGGGAGAAGAGGAGACTCAGAGGGGATCTGTTGGCGACATACAGGTATGTGAGGGGATGTCACATGGAGATGGGTAGAGACATGTTCTCCCCTGCAGAGGAAGGCAGGACACGCTCCAACGGAGCAAAGCTCAGGGAGCCAAGGTTCCATTTGGATGCCCGGAAGCACTTCCTGACAGTCAGGACCGTGAGGGTGTGGAATGGGCTTCCCTGGGAGGGGGTTGAGGCCCCATTGGTGAGGGTGTTCAAGGATAGGCTAGACATACACATGGTGTGCATGTCGTGAGTGGAGCCGGCTGGAGCCAGGGATCAGTCTAGATGGCCTGGGAAACCCCTTCTGGCTCGCTCTGTTTCTATGTTTCTGTGTATGGACCAGTGAGGTACCCTTGCAGTTTTACATACCAATTTCACAGTTCTTTCCTTCATAACCTGCTGGACAGCTACATGCGTAGTCATGGAAGCTGTCTTGACACTTCCCTCCATTCATGCAGGGCTCTGATATGCAGTCATCTCCATCTTGAAAAGGAAGATTGAATTCTAATGAACACCTGCTGGTAATGCTATTATTTCTGCAGTGGGTTTGCATCCAGGTTTAGTCATATTCCAAGTAGTTTCACTGAAATCCATGGGATATGATTCATCAGGTCACACACAATTCCCAGGGTCTACTATAAGGAGCAATGAATCTGGATTCAATTTACCACCAGAAATCTTTGTTACAGCGCAAGGGGATGCCTTCAGAAGGCGATCTTTCCCCACCTTGAGGAACTTGCCATATAAATCTGGACAGAGGAGTTAAGAAAAAGCAGAAGAATGAAACACCGAAATGTTACAAGTTGAGACTAATGGATCCAAAAGTAGACACCCACATTTGGACTTCATGGGCTTTGCCAAAGAAAGTGGAGTGCGCAGAGAAGCCCAGAGCAGACATAAACCCAAGTCATAGTTTAGCACCTATGCACCCGCTCTCCATTCCTTCCTTGCAGTTGCATCCATAGAAAAAGGAACAGAATGAGTCAGAGGGGGCCTCCAGGGCCATCTAGTCTGACCCCCGGCTCCAGCCAGCTCCGTTCACGACATGCCCACCATGTGCATGTCCAGCCTATCTTTGCTATGTTTAACACCAGCCGTGGGTCACAGTGTTTGCAGTTTGTTCAGCACATTTACTGAGCTTAGGTTAAACTCTGGATGATTGAAAGAAGACAGGACCAAACTGCAGCTCCTCATCCTGCCCATTTCAGTCAGCCACAATGGATGGGAGTTGTAGTGGTCAGAAAAGCCAGCTTGGAGGAGGAGGAGGACTGAGGGGTGGGGAGGAGAGGAGACCACACGTGCTTTTCCCTAAGCCCCTTCCGGCACCTTCCTTCTCTCTCTGAAGTGCTCTTGCTAGGCAGGAGAAAAAGCCCAGCCAGTGGGAATCACCCAAGACAGAGGTCAGAGACTGTGATCTGGGCAGAAACAGTGCAATTCAGAGGACTGTGCCTCAGCGAATAAACAGGGCCACTCTCCTGGGGTTCCCTGGGGCATGGCTTGCAGTCCAGCCTTTGGTAGTGAAGCCGAATGATGCCTCTGGCCTTGCTTCCGCCAGCAGACACAGGACTTCGGTGTCTGGCTTAGGCCATCCAGCTGCATGGCTGTTCATATTCACAGTCCTTCAACGTGGGTCAGCTCCATGTGCCAAGTGACTCTTGCATAAAGGATCACAACGGGGCCTTTGCACTTGCGTTTTGCAAAGATGTAGAGTCAAATCATGTGAATGAAAAGGGGGAACCGAGCCCCACTTACCGTGATAGCCTATCCAAAACTTCCGCTGAAAGGAAAATAATAAAATTAAATTCAGATGGAAGTGCAAGCCGAGCAGCGATTGATGTGCACATGCATCATTCAGCTGACATTCGTGCAGAGGCCAGACTCATTTCCTACTCATGGGAAAGGCCTGGTGCCACAGTCCCACCCCTCACTATTTACTTGAGCAATCTGAAATAATCGGGGCACTTGCTGACTGAAAGAGCCCAGTATTCCTTCTTTGTCATAGCATCTGACTTTTGCTTTCTTAAACATAAGTAAAGGTTCTAGTCCTTATTGCCTGGAATCATGAGAAGCTATGTCTGTTATAGAAGCCAAAGGGGCTGGTAGTTTAGCACTCCCAGTAAGTCCTTGCCACTCCCCATGCCCAGCAAAACAAGAATTATGCAGAAGAGTAAGAACTGGAGGACAACATTATGCAAAATGAGAACAATCACACACAATTGCTTCATGCCTGCAGACCAGACAAGCCTTTCTTGGTGCAGAGCTTGGATTCACTTGGCCAGAATCATATTGTGTGTTTGTTCCTAGGACCTAGGGATAGTTCCCACCATTTGCGTAGGGTTAGCCCTCTAGCCCCATTTAGTACTGACTTTCAGGAGCTCTTTTCCTGCCAGTTCAGGGAATCACCCAACCGCAAAAGGTCTCTTGTGTCAGCAATCACCGTTTCAAGATCATTTTCAAAGACTTCTCTTGCTTCCTCGTAATCACATTTCTCTTCCAGGCACTCGCGTTCAAGGTTTCCTGGAAACATTTCTTCAATTAGTCCAGTGTTGGCCCTTCTGTATCGGTGCAAAACAGCACTTGCCTTGTCCTGATCGAGAAAAACTTCAACAAAAAGGGAAATCAGAGATGGTTAAGAAGGCTTTGCTCCATGCAGAAATATCCCACCAAGAAACAGCCTTTGATCACTCCTTCCTGCTTTAGGGCATGGCTGCCAATCTTGAGCATGCCCTCTTCAAAGATGGTGGAGACACTAACACATTTGCCAGAGCAATTTCCTTCTTACACTGTTGCTCCTTTTCAATATGCAGCTTCTTTGCCAAAAGAGCTCCCCCAGCTGCTGTTCCACCCTCGGGCCATGTCTAAGGTTTTAGTACCTGGAACCAAAACCCTGAATGACTTGGGAACAGGATGTCAACCCCAGCCTGCCTAATCACTTCAGCTCCTGGGAGACACTCTCCTGGTGGTTTCAGGTGGACACTCGCCTCAACTGGAGTCCACCAGAAGAAGGGCTTTCAATGTGGTGGCCCCATTGCTGTGGAACTCCCCACCTCTGGAGATCAAGCAGCACCAACATTGTGTTGTTATCAGCTCTCACTGAATACAGCCTTGTTTTGAGAAAACTTTTCTGCTGACCAGCCCTGATTTTAATGTTGCCACGATTTCATATACCTTTTAAATGCCTTTATCCATTTTACTTTGTTCTGTTCATTGCTCCAGAATCTGCCTTAATATGGAGTGGAATCAAATACCATAAACAAATAGAGCTGGGAGTTCTTTGAGCAGTTTCTGGTATGCGTGAAGTATCTTAACCTGAAATTCTCCATCCTAGCACATACATCGGATGAATTCTGCTGTAACGCTTGCAAAGCAGGGTGCGAGGAGGAGTGGAATCCTGATGATTAACATGATCAGAGCAAACATTTATTTCTTCCTCCCCTGCAGTGACCCTGAGGCATGCATCTCTCCTAAAACTGCTATTTGCAATTTATTTTTATGTCAAAAACCTGTTTGTTCAATGCCCAGATACCTTTAAGAGTATACCTTCAGAATATAAGTGGGGAAGTACCAACCTTTCAACCAACCAACCAACCAACCAACCAACAAAAATACTCTGCACATAGGAAACAAGGACATTGGGAAAATATAATCCAGCCATTGTGGCCCAACTCTGCTTGGGTGCAGGCTTTTTCTGAATCCGGTGACATCCTGTGTATATATTAGCACAGTATTTTGCAAGGGTTCATTCTCACAACCTCCAATGTTCTGGTGTGAACGCTACTGCTTTATGTATAAATAGAGCTGCCAGGTTGCTGTTGGGAGCCGGTCGCTATTCTGTTATAATGCCAGTCCTCTGTCAGCTTCACTGGGTCCCCACTGAAGTCCAGGCCCAATTTAAGGTGCTGGGATTGACCTATAAAGCCCTGAATGGCTTGAGACCAGGATACCTGAAGGAACGTCTTTTGCCCTATATGTCCTCCCACCCCTTAAGATTTGCATCAGAGGCCCTGCTCTGGGAACCCTCCCTGAAGGAGGTTAGGAGAGTGCACACCTGGAGGAGGGCCTTCTCTGTGGTGGCGCCCCGGCTATGGAATGCGCTCCCCAGAGAGGTTTGCCTGGCGCTGACACTATATACTTTTTGGTGCCAGGTTGAGACCTTTTTATTTACCTGAAATTTTAAAGTTTAAATATTTTAATTATGTTTTTATTGATATCCTTAATCATGCGTTCTTTTGTTGTTGATCAATGTATTTTATTAGGTGTATTATATTGTAAGCCGTCCAGAGACGAACTGCAATGGATGGGATAAAAATAAATAAAATAAATGTAGCTTAAAAAGCACCATGCATGTCCAAGCAGGAGGTCTTAGCAGGCCTGGAAGAATCTGAGGTTTGCAGAAAAATAAAAGCATTTTGTCGTTTTTGGGTGGTGAAGAGTGCTAGTGGGGGAAATACCAGTGGGAGGTGTTCAGTGCGGGAGGGGGAGGCTGGCCAGCCAGGGATGGATGGATGAACTATATCTGCATATGCCAAGATTCTCCAAATATCAGCTCACTACTCATCTCTCCTTCATTTGTGTCTGTGTTTGTAGTTCCGTTCATTTTGTGGGAATGGGAAAATTGTGCCAAAGAAACACATGAAAGCTGCAGAACCTGCCCAGATTCCGTTATGGATGATTTAAACATATATGCTTTTCTGAAATTTGCACAATATTGAGTGGGAAACTTGAGTGTGAGCGCATCTGTGAGGACATTTTCTGAGGACACCTTCTTCGGCTTGGGCTCAGGGTTACAACCAGGGCTAACTTGTACGATTTACAAGCAGAAAGAAATGCCTCCTGCGTCTTTATGAGTAACAGTTGAGGGAAGGCATCTGGAAAACTGCTGTGGAAGGAATGGGAAATGAGTTGTTGGAATCCTGGGTAAGGAAGATCTCACCCTGCAAACATTTCTGGCAGGACTCAGTCACGAAGATCTAATGTCTGAGCTATAATAGGACTGGTACAATCCAAAGGCAACTGGAGGGCTTAAATCATCTGAAATCCTGTTAAAGGAGGAATGTCTGGGTAGGTTTTTGTATTCCCTCTCCCACTGGGATAATAATTAAACAGTGGCTTGTAAGCTAATGCAAAAGCACAGTCCATATGCCCAGTTAATTGTCTTTGAGCCCTTCCTATCTCCATGGGAGAAGTTTGAACAGAGGCTTAATTCTCTTACTTCGGAGCAATGACACTTATAAGTGCAGAACCCAAGATGAAAGTAGTATGTCTTCTCCTGACTATGTGGCTGTGTGTTTACTGCTGCGTTGTAGATTATGGCTTTTATAATCATAAAGAAACACTTTATCTGTTTCTTTTATTGGTGACAGCCATTCTGATAGGCCTTCTCTAGTATGAGAGCCAGAAAAAATAATGAAAAGGAAGAGGAAGAAGAGGAAAACATGATGGCCATAAAATGACCAAAAGGGAAGCATCCAAGCATCCAATATGTTAGAATATCTTTCTACATTTTTTTCTATATCCCTGCTCAATCACATTCAAAAGGTTTGAAACAAAAAATGGTTTAAAATGATGCATATAAAATATCATTTGCTCCCATTAAATAGTGATGCGCTTTTGTGTGAACTCTCTGTAAATGTTCCAGTTTGTATTTTAACTGTCCTTTGGGATTATATTGCTATTATTATTATTATTATTATTATTATTATTACTATTATTTTGGCCTATACATAAGCTGTAACTTCAAGTTAACTGTTTCTTCATCCTTGGTTGCCTTTAAGTTCACCTTCCCTCCTCTGGACACACGGACCATACATGTCGGATGAAAACTTCTAATTCTTTATGGTAAAAATTCTGACCTATATACATTGACCTAGAAGCAAGTCTTATGATGCATACTGGGATATACTTCATACTGCAGGATTTCTTCTAGCACTCACATTTTCTTGAAAAACTAGCAGTCCAATCTTTCATGTTAAGGGTAAGCCACTGCTTCCTCATCAGGTGCCTGAACCCTTTTCTAATCTCAAGCCAAAAGAAACACAGCTGATTAGTTCAGCTTAAAATGAACCAACCTGTGCCTTTAGCATGAAGGAGGCATCCGAGCAGACAAGCAGCAAGCGTGAAGAACCTGGCAGCCATTTTCGTGAACTGGTACAACTGCTTTGCTAGTGAATTGTGAACCTGAAGTCTCTGGATCAACAGTTCCAAAGTTTAGTTTGTTTGTTTGTTTAGTCTTTGTTTAGTTTGGGGCCAATGCAGAGGTTATCATTCAGCTGAAGGTCTCTGAAAGGCCAGCTCCAGAAGCCCAAATTCAGTCTAACCAGTCCTAAAAACAGCTGTTTTTACTCATAACCCAAAACTTTCTGAGAATGAACATGGTGCATTGGCAAATGAAGTCTCTAGCCTCCACTTTGCCCCTCCCTTGAATTAGATGATAAAACTAACCAGGAAGTTCTCACTTACCATGGTCTCCAAGCCTGAGATCCTGAGGGTTTCCTCCAAATCAAACCAGAATTTGAAGCCTAGAACATGATGTCCTACAACCTTGATTTGTTTGGGAATAACAAACCAAGATCTCAAGTTGAATGTTACAGAAAGCTCTTCTTCCTGGCAAGTTTTGCCTACTCTGAACTTGAGGGTAGCAGACAGAGGGTAGCGAACAATTATTAGCCTTTGAAACTTTCTCCTTTGTGAAGAGAACAGATTATTTTGTACTGCCCATTCCAGCCAGTTCAAAGGTTTGGAATGGATAGATCCTGGAATCCCATCTGGTATCAGACAGGTTTTCATGCTGTCAAGTTCCCAGAGGCTTCTGGAGAGATGAACTGTACCAAGGATGGCTAGACTTGCTCAATGGAATTGCTACATACAGTAAAAGTCAGGTGTTTGGGAGCTGCAACACATGAACAAATATGTATTTGTTTATTTATTATCTATTTATTTTGACTTTCTGAAAATGCATTTTTACTTATCAGTGTATGATTTCTTAAAATGTACATGATAAGATGCATGGACACCTGGAACAGCAACTGTGGGATGCATTCCCAAAGATGGCTCTTTTTTTAAAAGCGGACAGCCTTTCAATCAGAAGACACCTGAAGAACAGAGGACAGTCTGCTGGCAGTGCTTGCCCACATAGCTATTCATCAAGTTCACACGCTGAGTCACCTCTGCTAAGCTGGAAAGGTAAGGGCCAGCAGCTGGACGGGTGACCACATGTGGAAGTAGAGCAGGGGGTTGGACTTGATGGCCTTAGAGGCCCCTTCCAACTCTACTACTATCTATCCCATTGCATTCTATTTTCCATCAGAGCAAACACAGGACCGCCCACGACTGCATGACTGTGTACCCGTCCACACTGCAATTTCCTTATGCTACCCAGTCGGACGAGGAAAACAGATCAACAGATCAAAAGGTGGCCAGCACTCATTCCACTGTTACTATCAGTTCTCCATCAACTGCTTTTATTTATTATTTATTCACTGTAAAATGTGTATGTCACATTTTGTTCCCCACATGGAGACATTCAAAAAAAATGAAGAAAGAAAGCAAACAGAAGAAAGAGTTATGCAAGGTGATGTGGCGGTCACTGCATGGTTACACGACACATACAGTAACTCTCAGATCATTGTTGACTTAGTACTTAAAGGTTGGATTTTATTGGAAGGTTCATTTCCTCCCTTTGTTAACTCACCCCTAAGGCCAGCCTCTGATCTGTATGTTTGCAATTAAAGTCTGGCCACCCTATGTTAAAAAACTCACATAAAATGGGCTAGCTCTGTCTCCTAGAAAAATTCTCCCAAAGTATATACAGAATGTAGGGGCACACAGTCATCCTTCCTGTCTTGCTAGGTTCCTTTTAATTAGTCTTCTGGTTGAGCTTGCAACCCTGAATGAGATTTTATTATCCCTAGTGCAATATTTACAGGGAGTAAATGTCAGAGAGTAAAGCATTGCTTCTTCAACTCGACAAAAACAATAATAAGAACACTTCCCTTGTTGAATTTGCAGCAACAATTGAAAGTTTCCCAACAAGATGGGTAAATATGATGATTATTAATTCATCAAGACTGCTGGAGCACTGATACTGCACTATCCTAGTTCTTTTTTTTAAAGGACATGTAAACAAATGTATTCTAAGCCTTTGTTTTAATCTGCTGGTTATGATAATAGAACAGATGACTTGGGGAAGAGGTGGATTCTCCTTCAGTGGAGATAGAAACATAGAAAAAGAGTGAGTCAGAAGGGGCCTCCCGGGCCATCTAGTCTGACCTCTGGCTCCAGCCGGCTCCACTCACGACACGCCCACCGTGTGCATGCCCAGCCTATCTTTGAACACCCTCACCGATGGGGCCTCAACCAACTCTCGTGGAATATTGCAGTAGAGACTGGATGGCCACCCTCCTGGAGAAGCGTCCTCTTCCCTCCCCATTGTTTTTTCTTTGTGTGTCATATCTTTCTAGATACATGCACATGGTGGGCATGTCGTGAGCGGAGCCAGCTGGAGCCGGGGGTCAAACTAGATGGCCCAGGATGCCCCTCCTGACTCGCTCTGTTTCTGTGTTTCTAGATTGTAAACCTGCAGGCAGGGACTGTCTTGGTCTACTGACTGTATGTAAACCCCTCTGAGAGCCTTTCTAGCACAGAAGCAGAGTAAAAAAAAAAAATTTCAGAGGAGCAAGGCTGTAGTTGCACGGTTTATGTTGTGCAGGGGGTTAAGGGTTATCCATAGGATTTTCATCTCTACTTGAACCAACAGTCAAAGCCTCATGGGCAGTTCACATTTTGGGTCGAGAACACAGCCAAGTTCCCTTTGAGCTTTAACATTTTGGGATCCTATAACTTTTGCTCCGAAGTTCTCATCATAAGTTGTGTTCTGTTCTGTTCAGCTGTTCAACCATATCCAACTCTAAGCGATCCTGTGGCCCAAATCTCACCACACTTTCCAATCCTGTGCCACCTCTTTCTGCAGGACTGTACTCTGGCCTGTGTCCTCTTTGATGGAGTCTAGCCACCTCGCTCTTTGGCAACCTGGTTTTCTCTTGTCATTGAGCATTGCATCTTTTTGTAATGAGCTTGATCACATGACATGGCCAAAATGCATGAGTCTCAGCTTTGCTATCTTGAAAACCAGGGACACGTCTGGTTTAATATACGCCAGCAACTGCTTGTTCGTGACCCTACTATCCATGGAATACGTGAGAGCCTCTGCCAACACCACAGGTCAAATGAGTCAATTTTCCTCTTTCAGTGTCCAGAATAGGTTGTAGCACAGACCATGTAAAAGATTATTTTGATAATGACTGATTGTGAAAGAAGAAAAGCCATACCGCTTGAAATGCCTTGGGTTAGCTATTCTTATTATCACATGGCATTGATCGCCCACCTTTCTTCCCCTGTTGAGGAACCTAAGGCAGTTAACGAGGTTCTCCTCCTCTCCATTTTATCCTCACAACAACAACCCTGTGGGGCAGGGTAGTGACTGGCCCAAAGTCATCCAATAGGCTTCATGGCTGAATGGGGACTAGAACCGGGTCTCCTGGGTCCCAGGTCAACTTTCTTAACCCCTGTGCCACTCTGGAAATAGAATGTGCTTTGTACCAATTTAACTCAATATTTCTTGCTTTCCTGCTTTACTGAAAATGTTCAGACGTCTGCTAAATGATCAGATGTCTGTGCAGTCTTACATGCTTTCTAGATGGGATGGAATTAATTTAGGACACAAGGCTATGCATGTTCAGACTGAAAAAGGCCTACAACTCCCAGAATGCCCCCATCTTTTTTTACCTAAGCGTGCCTGGCATTGCATTTCTAAGCACTTCGTAGTATTTGTGAGATCCTGTTTCTAGGAAAAGAGGTGCAGATGTCTTCTCCTCCACCCTTGTCCTGGGAAGCAGGTTGTCTTAGTTGACCATGGGTAACCCACACGTCATGTTCATTTGTAGGTGGTGTTACTCCATTTTTAGTCAGACTAACATTAAGTGAAGCTTATCCATTTTTCCCCTTTAGGTATGCCCCTGGGATAATTTCCATGTCTAACTTTTGGATCCAAAATGTTGCGTCTCTAACTATTCAGCCGCTGTTAACTTTGCGAAAGCTGTTTTAATGCCCCCTGGTGGTGGATGTAAAATATGTAACTAACACTTGTCTATAATCAGCAATTTGCGATTGCCCGGTGACATATCTCCTCCTCCCTCTTTTTTCCCTTTAATCGCAGTGAGCTGACCTACTTCTATATATTCAAATCTTACAAGGGAAAATTAATTTCATGGCTATGTGCAAAGAAGGAGAGAGAACACCTTTTTCTATCAGAGCTGCAAACTGCAAAATACGGAGCTATTTAATGCCTTCTTACGGACATCTCCCATGCCCATTTGCAACCAACAAGGTCTCCTCAGCCCTTGAGTCCATTGTTCATCCTGACAGGTTGAAAAATAGTTGAAAAAATAATCGAACAGTTGTGATCCCTAAAGGAACTATTTTTCATTGCCCAAAAATGCAGGACATTTTTTCACAACGCTTGTACTCTGGCTTAGAGTTTGCCACCAGCACTGGTGCTCCTTGCTAATACTTACAGGCTGTGCTTCTTCCAAGAAGGATGAATTTTGCATTCCGCAAAGAGACACATCCATTCTGATGTCACTTTCCCTGACCATACTGCTACAGAAAAATATCATGTAGCCATTATTACCTAGGCATGTGCTTGAGCACATGATTAAAAAGAACAAGCTCAGCAGACAAAAATCTAAAATAACTAAATTGAGTCTCTGAAGAATGGCTGATCGCATCAGCATGCTGGCGCTCCATTGCAAAGTACCTCCATTAAAATGGCATTATACAGTAATTGATAGCTCAAACAGATCAAGCCAGGGAAGGCACTGACACAGGGTAAGCGCGCTCCTGAAGGGAGCACAGATGAAAAATTGACACAGTATAAGCCCGGAAAGCAGCTGAAGGCTCAGCCCATAAAAGCTGCGAGTGTAAGCTGAAATCCCAGTATGCACAGTCAGGTGGAGCTAAAGCGGAATGGTAGCCACAGAGAGGTTGTTCTCGCTGGTCTGCTGGGCATTCTGCAAAGACTCTGCTTCTGTGATTTCTTCCTTGGTCACTTGGTTCTTCAGAAGAAGCCACAGGGCAGGACCATGGCAGAACTCAGAGTGTAG